TGTGACTACCAGGAGCCCCTCAAAGTGGTTGAAGGGCCCTGCGAAGTCAAGCTCGAGTTCATGGTTCATGACCGCACTCATCTGACAGGGTCCTCTTGAAGCAAATGAATTCTCCATAAGGGTATGTCATTTGTTAGGGGGCCCCAAACAATGGTGGCTTTCCCTCTGGTTTTCCATTAAACCCGCTAAGAAAGGGGAAGCCTAAAAAAGCGCCACACCCACAATTACTTTCAGAGAGAAACACCCCCGGATTGATTCGGAGGGGTTTATGGATCCAGGCCATGTGGTTTCATTCGCGTAGAAAATTGGAAAAGAACAGCAACAGCTCCGTCTGACCACGGGATCTACCCTTGCGCTGGCGTCATGAATTGATTCTCAAGGAAAAAGAGTCCAGTTTCTGAGGAATAGTCCAGTTTCTGGTGCCCTCTTGAGATGCGCTTGCTATGACACATGGCACTGGTTGCAGCTTGGTTTCAGCCATCTAACCATCTTTGGTGTCTGTCTCACTGTTTGTTTCAGTCTTCCAGTTTTCTTCACACCCATCTTAAGTACAAGACGAAGCCTTGGAAACCGAAAGGCTCAGTCGCCCCCAACCGCCGGTTTCGATCGGCCTCTTGAAGGCCTTGCCGCATTCCTCGAAGCTGACCATGCCGTCTTGATTCTGGCAGCGGATCACGGGGAATTTCTGCTGGAAGAGCCAACCAGTATAGGCGGGTTCAAAAGGTACGTCAAGCATGGGATGACCATTAGTTGGGAACCAACAAACAAATTGTATTCCACCACTGAATGGGAAAAGCTACCCATGGTCATTTGGGGGCCGAAGGTCCCGAATATTGATCAACCCCCATATGTGAATTTGTCAACGCTGCCCCTGCAAGATCCCAACTAAAAAAAGGGGGAAGGCGTGGCAGAGGAGCTTGAAGCACGAAATCACCAAAAGGGGGCCCTGACTTTTGGTCATACACAGAACTGGGAACCTTTGGAACCCTGAGTTGAGATTCGCCCCATTTTCGGCAGCTCTTGCCCCCAACCAATGTCTCCCGAGTGGATTCTGACAAACCCGACAACCTCAGAAAATGAGAGAAATGTCACAGCTAAGTTGATCTAGTTCCGTCCTGGGATCCTCAAAAGACTCTCACAAACATTGCACCATTTCGACTGGAAACCCTACATGCCAGCATGAAACTGCAATCTTTGATCCGTCCAAAGGAATAAGTCTATTCACACCAAAACCCCTCCCAATCCCCCCCCAAGGAGAACTTGACAACTCAAATCTGACCTTTTAACCTACCGAACCACGGGACCCCAACTTCTCAGAAACATAACTGTCTAGCAAGACTGTGCCTTTCCTTCAGCAGAAACATGCAACATATTATTCCTAGCAAAAAACACATCTCGGCTGTCCTCAGATCCCCTGCTAACGGGGTTATGGAAACCCAGTTACATGGATCACCCACTAAACACCTAAAAACCTAAGGAACCGGACGGCTGGTTCCGAACCGCCAAGTTAAGAACAAGATGGAGAGACCGAACCAAGGCTCCCCAACCGCAGGGATTGATGATGCGCCTCTTGAAGGCGTTGCTGCATTCCTCAAAGATGACCATGCCAAGGTATCCGTATGATCTTATATGACACTATCAAATGTTAAATTTGTTGTTTTTGACTTTAAATAGAAAAGATACGAATCTGAGACGTACAGAAATTCAAACCAAAAAGAACAAGAGCCCTATGACTTGTTAACAAGAAGCGAGATTTTCTGTTCCAGCTTCCCGCTCTGCCAGCCCGGGCCGGCCTCGTCGGACATGTCGAAGGCCACGGACCAGCGGGGCTGGGAGCTACGCAGCTCCTCCAGCGTCTTCTCCTGACCGCTCGGGTAAGAAAACCATCCCATTTGGGTGTCTTGTGTTTAGGGGACTCCCCAAAAAATGGACCCCCCCCAAAAAAAAAGAAGAAGGTTGTTTTCCTTTTAGCTATTTGTGAAGACAAATCTAGTGGCAAACGAAAGTGTGGTTGCTTTTCTGGACGGTCCACTCAGGAAGTAAGAACCCTTTATTTGGTGAAGCCTTTGTGGGGTTGCTCCACAAGGACGGAACTGATGTTCCTGAAAAAGGAGAAATGACCCACCAAGCAACGAAAGGGGCACAGGCCGGCCCCCGGCAGTTGGAGTCCCAAACGACCGGACCATAGCTGCGGTCGACCCACAAACCTTGTCGCACGTTGTGGAAGCAAACATAGGTCAACGCTCAAGCCAAACAGCAACCAAGTAGGCTACAGTCATGGTTTTAATTTCGATGGAATCAACAAAGGCTGGTTCCCCTATAAACCTACTCGCAACCACGCAACACAAAACCCGGTGCTCGCAGTCACTTTGTTAGGCATCCTTTTTGCAGTGGTTAGCCGCAAAACGAGCAATCCAACTGGCTACCAATCCCAAAACTGTAGGAAAGCTTTGCCACTTTAGCTAGGGATTCATGGTCAGAGTGCATTGTGAAGGACGTCCGGAAGATGTACCCTTGAAGAAATGCTCCCAAAAGGCTCCAACGCACCTCTCGCAATAAAAAGTGGGATGGGTGCCTCTTCCACAGGGTAGCCAGAAACCTACAATCCCCTAGCCGTATGGCCGCAGTTGGCTCCCAAATAAAGCTCCAGCACAAAGTCGGGAAACACCTGGCAAAGTACCAGCAAACCACTGGGTCGCCCCTTGTCGATGCGCCTAAAACCTTGTAATTATCTAGGGGTTGCCGAAGAGGGTCCCAACAAGTTTTAAAAGCTAAGCCAAGCCTGGGCTTTTCTCTCCATCCGCTTGGAACCTCCCTACCTTCACGAGTGGAACCGCTCGTTTTACCCAAACCCCGGGTCGCCCAAAAGCCACCCAGCACGCCTTGCTGCCCAGCCGGGCTTGCTGCAGCTTCCATGCCTATCGATTTGGGGAGGAAGTGGAAATATGGAACCCGAATCCTACCCAGACAAAAATGGCTGATATTACAACCCAAAATGATGGACTGTTTTTTCTTTGAGGGTAGTCTTGATGGTCCAGGAAGTGAACACCGAGCCAATCAAACGCATAAAACAGGTCTACCAGGCGGTAACCCCACCCCCACCCCCTGGAACCCTTCGAACCTCCCTGAAAGCTACCCCAAGCACCGATTGAGCCTTTCGGGGTAGAGACCCCACTGTCAGCTGGGGCAAAAACATGGAGTTGGTCTTGCCCCAGAATGGAATGATCAAAAAGTTGTTTTTGTAAGGGTAGGTTGAGGGAAGATGAACACAGAGGTGAAAAACCGTTTGAAAAGGTCTACCAACTCAAAGGTTGGACCTCTGAAGGTACCATTAGGTGTAACATACATGGCGGCAAATAAACATCGAACCAACCTGCAACGTGGCATCCCTCTATTTTCAAACAAACTGACCCCTTTCAAGGCCACCTATGCGTCTAAAGGTACTAAAGTTTAGTTTAGCATCGAGCAGTTCTGGCATATTGACTCTTGGAAGGAGCCACCAGTGAAACCCCACCAGTGTGTGGAACAACTGGGGGAGGAGGAGTGCGACCCCAATTTTGGTGTACCTCGAAATGTGGACGCACACGTCGAAAGTGGCTTTGTTTAGGATTTGGACCCCCAAAATGGTGTTCCGTTGCTCCTTTTGGCTTCCCTTTAACACCACCCCGACAAGTGTAGCCTCAAAAAGAAAGGAACCTCGTGTTCCTCACAAGCCCTTGGGAAAGCTTCACACCCCACAGACCCAGGGGAACTCTGAAGCATTGAGCAAGTTTTGTATTCTGTTCACTGCGAGATCGCCCCCGAATGGGGGTTGCGTAAAAAAAAGACATACAAAACACACACGTTTTCATGGGAGTTGTTTTTGTTTGCTCTCTTTTCCCCGGTGAAGGGAAGCGCGCCTGGATCGGATCCATCGCGCCGCACTTGCTGGCTGGCGGGATTTTTTGCCCGACCAAAAAAGCTGCCTGCCCTCTGAAAGTCGCTGAACCTGGCAAAATCGACGCGTGAGTTTTGTGGTTTTGAAAAGAACAACTCATTTGATTCGCACTTGGCGGGCCGGTCCGGGCCGCTCGTATTCATGATGCCTAAATGATGCCACGGTTGTGAAGTTGAAGCGTCATGCTGCATATGCGGGCCCCTAGAGTAGCATCCATGGTTCACTCTGAGCCAGGAACAGCGCTTCTAACAGCAAAGGGTGCAACACAACTCCAAGGGACCTGGTGGCTGGATGTCCCCTGCAATTTGCTGGTGTAGGTCGAAGGGAAATTGAGGGACTGAGGGAGCTTCCTCGGCTGACTAACTGTGGATCAAATTATGGCCGGTGACATGTTCGCCAAGCTGGGAGCCGCCTGTCGCTATCCCAAATGAGTGATGATCAAAACCTGGTATTCACATGGTCTACCCAAAGCCTCGTGAAGAATCCAAAGGGCGGATACCGGCACCTACTTGGTGTTGATTGTGCCTCAAATTGGGTCATTCCGCTTCATCCGTGCAACTTTGTTGCTTGACGGTTGGGGCTTCGCTTTCTGTCGCGGAAAGTTGCTCCAAACCCACCGCCCCAGCCTCGTTTTCTACGGGGCAAGTTCGGGGGCCTGGAGCATAGATCAGCTTCCCCCGAAGTTTGGGGCTAAATCTGTGGTTTGGTTGGGGTGCTGGGAAACCACTTTTACACTCCACAAGAACCAACGGTTGAAACCCCACAGAAACCATCAGTCGGATCCTCACCCACACAAAATGAGTTGATGCCAACCAGAACGCTTGGAGTACAAATCGGACCCTCACCCCACACAGATTGTTGCCAAAACGCTTGGAACACGGAGGGACTGCGCCAAGCCTCAGGCCATCAATTGAGCCCTCAGTGCCCAACCTTGGGTGTGGCTGTGGGGGGCGGGGGTGTGGTTTGGGGGTGGGTGGTCTTTTTGTTCAATTCGGGACCCAAACTGGAGGGGTCCACCAACCACTTTGGAGGAAAAATCATGGCCACTTGCTGCTCTCTGCTCCTTCTTGTCCTTCTTGTCTTTGTCCTGCAACATCTGACGTCTGGATCTCGAGCATCAGCCCGCAATTCAAAGGTCCGATGTCAAGGCACCTCGTTTGCATCCAATCCCACCCATCAAAACTCTTGACTTGGGTCACGGTTCCATCTCATTGCCCCAAGGGTTTCACTCCCTGGGGACAATCAACAAATGTGTATATATATATATATGCTTTTTGTTGGGGGGGGGGGGGGCGACCTCTGCCCCCCCAAAACAAAAATAAAATAAATAAATAAATAACATTAAAAAAAGGTGCTCAGTTAGTGCTCCGTTTAGACCATCTAAAGGGTTCCCTTCAAAAGACGCGCCCCAAATGAAATGTTTGGGCCATGCCAGCTCCAGCTTCAGGTGCTCTGGTCTGCTAACTAGTTATCGTAAAACTCATGGGACATATATTTAAATCCCTATGTTTTCGAGCCGTTATTCTGTTAGCCCCAATTAATATTGTATAGTACAGTGTATATAATTATATAAATAAAAAAACAAAAAACAAACGAGGAACACAGACTAGTTTAGTTTCATTATATAGTTTGAATTCACATCTAGATAAATGTCAGTTATAGCAATTGTTGTCTGTTGCTTCCAAAATTACTTCTTGCACCAAAGGGGGGGGGGCAATTTGGGGGGCAATTTGGGGGGCACGCCGCAAATCCATTGACTTGTGGTCTGCGGCAACTTCGGAAGGTGTGTCGAGATGTGGGAAGCGTTGAAGCGGGAACTGGCAAGTCAAAATGGCAAGACCGCGGGACGTGGCAAGCAAATTGTGGGCGGGCAAAGCGCAAAGAATCAGCTGCCAAGTCTACTATGAATTTCGATGCATGGTGGCACAAAGTCCCAGCTGTCGTCATTTAGCAGACGTCGCAAGTATTCTGGTCCGGTCCTTCTTCACCTTCTCCTTGTCCTTCTCCTTGTCCTTCTCTTTGTCCTTTTCTTTTTCCTTCTCCTTCTCCTTTTCTTGGTCAGCCTGGGCTGCACGAATAAGAACCTAAACTTGCAAAATCTCACAGCAAACTCCGTCAGACTAACATGGAAGCTCCCCCAATTGGCCTCCGTAAATGGAACCAAGTCGTCACCAGGGAGTTCCATGGAATCGCCTGGAGGGTAGTCCCACCTGAGTGCTTCTTAAGGGGCTGCTTGATTCCAATGGAAGGGGTCACTGCACACTGTGAGATTCTTTCAACAACACTCTCGGATGTGGCAAGGGCTACCACCCGAACATTTCTGACTTCGAACATATGGGAGATCTTTCCTGTGAAGCGGATTCCTCTTGAATGGGGCTACTATAGGATCCAAGTTCATTGTGGTCTCCCCTTGGTTTGCCTCCTTCAGACAAGGCCAGCTCAGTCAACGAATCGCACCGGCCCGCCTCCCAGTCCCAGCGTGATCCTGAGAACTCGCACATCGAAGGTCCGGGCTGTATTTTTGGGTCGCCTAAGAAAAGACACACCCACCCACTGGTACCTTGGCTAGTTGAAAGGTGTTGCCTTGAAAAAAAAAGAGGCCGGCAGCCTCAAGAAACGCGCGTGTGTTGGCCAGCAGCGCGAAGTGCTGCTATTCTCAGGCGATTTGGCCCTTTCTTGTCAAAGCCATGGTAAAAATGGAACAAAATAAACATGGTGCGTGTCAACGATGCAACGAAATGTTCATAAAACGCAGGAATTTTTGTAAACGTGCTTGGTCGCCATGGTCAAAAGCAGCATGGTCATTGGCAACGCCGTGACCTTGTTTTTCTCCGAGGAAGACCAAAAGCAAACTGACCCTTTTTGCAGGTCCCCCCAATAAAACCTGATAGAAGCCACGAACCCGAATGCGGACACGAAAGCGGACTCTTGTCACATCTCGCGTCGCGTCTCTAGTCACGTTTCTATAGTCACGTCTCTGGTCACTTCGGGTCACGTCATTGTCACGTCTCTCGTAGCAACTCTGGCCACGTCTCTCGTCATGACTTTCGTCAAACCTTGCATCGTGTGTCACGCTGCGCCTCTCGTCACGACTTTGTCACGTCTCCCATCACATCTTTCTTGGCGACTCCCGTCATGTCTCTTGTCATGTGAGTCGTCACCCCTCAAGTCGCGTCTCTGGTCTTTTATCACTTGTCTCGCCGCGCCTGTCGTCATGACTCCGTCGCGTTTCCCGCCACGTCTTTCTTGGCGACTCTCGTCACGTCTCTTGTCACCATGAGTCGTCGGCCCTCGCGCCACATCTCTTGTCACGTCTCTGGTCCAATCTCGTCACGTCTCTCCTCGCCAGGTGGAGTATCTGGCTATTCCTCTTTTTTGTGTATAGTCACGTCTCTGGTGGCGTCTCACGTCACGTCTCTGGTCATGCCCCTTGTCAGGTTTCTCCTATGTCCTTGTCGCGTCTCAAGTAACAACGTTTTTCTTGTCACATCTATCGCCACGTAGCTAGACGTCCCTTGGCAGGTCTCTTAATACTTAGCCGGCTGGCTAATGTTAACCAGGTTATAAACGTTTAGTATCTCGGCTAAGTTGGGTTATAAGGCTGCCAATCTCCTTGGCAAACGAGATAAGTTGGTCAAACCTATATAAGGTTTATAAGTCGTTTCTGAGGTTTACCAGAATCTATCTAAGGATTATAGGAGATATGACACGCTTTATAACCCCCGTTGTAAACCCTAAGCCAAACAATGAGCAAACATGGTCGCAACCCTTATAAGGTTTAGCGGGGTTAGCTTTTGGGATCTGTTTTCGGGGCTAACACCCTTAGCAGACTTAGCTTTTTTCGAGCACAGTCATGCAGCATGCAAAAGGGAAGCCGAATCATTTACCTTTCGGCTTTTTTCGCCCCTGCGCATGCCGCCGCGGGCGTGGGCCCGCGCGGCACCCGCGCAAGCCGCAGCCGAGTATGATGCATGAGCCGCCTTGCGGACGCAAGTGCGCAGATTTGATATAAGATTCAGATTTCACAGATTTTTTCAGAATCTGAATTTTGTAGATTTTTTCAGATTCAGATTTTTCAGATTTTTAAGAATCTGAACTTTTCAGATTTTCAGATTCATATTCTTCAGATTTTTTCAGATTCTGAAAATCTGAATCTTCATCACTATCTTTACGTACATATTCAGATTCAGATTTTTCAGATTTTTTCAGAATCTGAATGTCCGGTTTTTTCAGATTCAGATTTTTCAGATTTTTCAGATTTGTTCAGATTCTGAAAATCTGAGTCTTCATCACTTTCTTTACTTAAATATTCAGATTCAGATTTTTCAGATTTTTTCAGAATCTGAATTTTTCAGATTTTTTTCCAGAATCTGAATTTTTCAGATTTTTTCAGAGTCAGGTTTTTCAGATTTTTTCGGGTTCTGAAAATCTGAATCTTCATCACCTTCTTTGCTTAAATATTCAGATTTAGATTTTTCAGATTTTGTCAGAATCTTAAAAAATCTGAAAAATCTGAATCTGAAAATCTGAAAAATTCAGATTCTTAAAAATCTGAAAAATCTGAATCTGAAAAAATCTGCAAAATTCAGATTCTGAAAAAATCTGTGAAATCTGAATCTGATATCAAATCTGAAAAATCAGATTCTGAAAAAAACCTGAAAGTATGAATCTAACAAACAATGTCAAAACAAATGGGCGCTCTGATCCGAGCTGTGGAACCGCTCAAGAGAAAGGAGAAAAAAATGCTGCGTCTCTGGGGCCGCGCGGACTGCCCGCTGCGTCTTTGCTTGATGTCTCGCTTGCGGTAGGAAAGCGCATATTGTTGCACCAATTGCACACAGGTGCTGGAATTTTACAGGAAAAACCTTAACAGGTTTAGCTGGTTTAGCTAAACTTTAGCTAAACCCTTGCCTACACCACCTCCCAAACCACATTTTGTAACCCTTATAAACCCGCTGCTAACTCTTATAGCGATTTATAAGGGATATCTAATCCCCAACCGGCTAAGTAACAACTCTGGCCATCTTTCATCATCGCATCTTTCATCGCGTGTCTCAAGGCGCCTCTCGTCGCGACTACGTAGTGTCTCCCATCACGTCTTTCTTGGAGACGTCTCCTGTCACGTGCGTCGTCGCCCCTCGCGTCACGTCTCTGGTCACGTCTCTTGTCACGACCCTCGCCACGTCTCTTCTCACACGTCTCTTGTCATAATTGCCGTCCCGTCTCTGGCAACCTCTCGCGTCACGACCCTCGTCACGTCTCTTGTCGCATCTCTCGTCACGTCCATGGTCACGCCATATCTCGCGTCTCGTCGCGACTCTCCTCGCACGTCTCTTGTCACATCCATCACATCCATCGTCATGCCTCTGGTCACGTCTTTGGTCACGTCCTTTGCCACGTCTGTCGTAACAACTCTGGCCACGTCTCTTGTCATGACTGTCATCTTATCTTTCATCATGTGTCTCAACACGCCTCTCGACTCTCGTCACGACTACGTAGCATCTCCCGTCACGTCTTTCTTGGAGATCCTGTCGCGAGCGTCGTCACCCCTCGCGTCACGTCTCTGGTCACCTCTCTTGTCACGACCCTCGCCACGTCTTTTCTCAAACGTCTCTTGTCATATTTGCCGTCCCGTCTCTGGTAACCTCTCGCGTCACGATCCTCGTCACGTCTCTTGTCGCATCTCTCGTCGCGTCTCTGGTCACGCCTTGTCTCGCGTCTCGTCGCGACTCTCCTCGCGCGTCTCTTGTCACATCCCTCACATCCATCGTCACGCCTCTGGTCACGTTTTTGGTCACGTCCTTTGTCACGTCTGTCGTAGCAACTCTGGCCACGTCTCTCGTTATGACTTTCATCTTATCTTTCATAACGTGTCTCGACGCGCCTCTCGTCACGACTACGTCCATCTCCCGTCGCGTCTTTCTTGGAGATCCTGTCGCGTGCGGTCACCCCTCGCGTCACGTCTCTGGTCACTTCTCTTGTCACGACCCTCGCAGCGTCTCTTCTCAAACGTCTCTTCTCGTATTTGCCATCCCGTCTCTGGTAGCCTCTCGCGTCACGATCCTCGTCCGGATCTTGTCGCATCTCTCGTCGCGTCTCTCGTCACGGCTTTCCTCTTCTCACATCCATCGTCACACCTCTGGCCACGTCTGTTGTCACGTCTTTGGTCACGTGCTTTGCGACGTCTGTCGCAACAACTCTGCTCCCGTCTCTCGTCATCACTTCCAACACATCTCTCATCATGTGCCTCGACGCACCTCGCGTCACAACTCCGTCACATCTCCCGTCCTGCCTTTCGTGGTCTGTCTCATGTCTCGAGCCACGACCCTACTCGCGTTTCGTGTCACACCCTCACGTGTTTCGTCACGACTTCCGCGCCCTGCGAAAGCGATTCAGCCCACCGAAAGCACGCAGAGGGTTCACTGTGCGATCTCAACATGTGCACCGCGCCACAGCGAGATCGATTCGACCCACCCAAAGTGCGCAGACGGTTCGCTTTGTGATCTCAAAATGCGCACGCGCCACGGCGAGAGCGATTCGACCCACCCAAAGTGCGCAGAGGGTTCACTTCGCGTTCTCAAAATGTGCACCGCGCCACAGCGAGAGCGATTCGACCCACCCAAAGTGCGCAGAGGGTTCATTTTGTATTTTCAACATGTGCACCGCGCCGCAGCGAGAGCAATTCGACCCACCCAAAGCGCTGCGCCTGCCACGACATCGGCGCGCAAGCTCGAAAGTACTGCGCCTGCCACGAAATCTGCACGAAAAGCTCTAAAGTGCTGGGCCTGCCACGAAATCTGCGCGCAAGCTCGAAAGTACTGCGCCTGCCACGAAATCTGCACGAAAAGCTCTAAAGTGCTGCGCCTGCCACGAAATCTGCGCGAAAAGCTCTAAAGTGTTGCGCCTGTCACGAAACATCGCGTTACAGCGACATGCAAAAGGCGCAAAATGCTGCGCCTGCCACGAAATCAGAATTTGACACCCTGCATCGCATGCGCAAAAATAGCGCGGGACTGCAGCGCCAGAATGATTTCGACCAATTTTGACACGCTTCAGGGTCGCCAAAACGAGCCGATTGTACGACAGGGCCAACGAAAACGGCGCCGGCGCAAACACTATCACGCGCCTGCCAAGCAGGACACCTCAAAACGACCACCCCTGGATCGCAAATTCCACTGGCACGGCAACGAGAACACGCAGCCTTCCAAAACACTGCGCCTGCGCAGCGAAACGACATGTCAAGCTTGAGAAGCTACGATTCCCGCACAGGGGCACGAACAATGACACGCTTCAAGTCATCTAAATGGCACGTGTTTCGCCTTCCCCACTGGAGCTGCAAGCGCGACACTCGCGAACACATACGAACGCTTGCAAACGCTTGCGCACGTTTGGGGACGTAAATTCAACGACTCCTGGTCACGTCCTAACCCCCAGACCCCCGACCTCTAAACGGGAGCCCTTCTGCTACGCATTCGGGGGGGAAAAAACAACTACAACCAACAACATACCAACACAACAGTTTCTGGGTGTTCACGGATTCCGTCTGCGCGACCAAAACCGAACGCTCGAGCGAAGGCTCCTGAAGACCACCTGTGATCCCAGGCGCCCCACTCCTATCGAATTCGGCTTCCTAAGACCTCCAATAGGGGACTTGGTGGACATCATGTTGGAGACCTAGGTAGAAATAAAAGGTGTTGACTGAAAATGGGCCAAAACAGGAAAGCAAAAAGTTCAACAGGTCGATTTGCTTTGGTCAGCTGAGTTTAGGTGGGGATTTCCACCAACCGTAAACACTGTTGAGCTGGTCCCCTAGTAAATTCATACTAATGTTGGCACTCGATTAGTAAAGGGTACCGGAATAATAGAAAGTGTTTTTCCTTATTATGGTTCACACCCATTGTTTAAGGGGACCAGAAAAATAGAAAGTTTTTTTGGCCAGGCGGATTTTAAAAAAAAAACACAAAGCAAATTTATATAATAATAATAAAACAAAAACATCCCCCTTTCAATTGGTGGCCCACTTGCTTAAAAGCATCCCCTTTCAATTGGTGGCCCACTTGCTTAACAGCATTCCCCTTTCAATTGGTTGCTCAACCACAGAACCCAAAGCCAGCTGAAACTCTGAAAATTGAAAACCATCCCCAGCCCTGAAACTGCAAACTCTTTATTAAACCGTGCTAAAAAATTGCCAAAAACAATCAGGACAAGGGTACCCCTCACAGACCCCACAGAACCACAATAATGTGATTGTTTTAGGGGACCACAATAGTGGCAAGCCCCCAGCCCCCCCTCCCAGAAAATAAACTATCACTTGCTTTGCTCAAAAGCATTCCCCTTTCAATTGGTGGCCCACTTGCTTAAAAGCATCCCCTTTCAATTGGTGGCCCACTTGCTTAAAAGCATTCCCCTTTCAATTGGTTGCTCAACCACAGAACCCAAAGCCAGCTGAAACTCTGAAATTTGAAAACCATCCCCAGCCCTGAAACTGCAAACTCTTTATTAAACCGTGCTAAAAAATTGCAAAAAAAAACAATCAGGACAAGGGTGCCCCTCACAGACCCCACAGAACCACAATAATGTGATTGTTTTAGGGGACCACAATAGTGGCAAGCCCCCAGCCCCCCCTCCCAGAAAATAAACTATCACTTGCTTTGCTCAACAGCATTCCCCTTTCAATTGGTGGCCCACTTGCTTAAAAGCATCCCCTTTCAATTGGTGGCCCACTTGCTTAAAAGCATTCCCCTTTCAATTGGTTGCTCAATACTAAAGTAGAATCGCAAAAAAGAAGTGGCTGCAATACTAAAGGAAGTGGCTGCAATACTAAAGTAGAATTGCAAAAAGGAAGTGGCTGCAATACTAAAGTAGAACTGCAAAAAGGAAGTGGCTGCAATACTAAAGTAGAATTGGGCCCCAACACCCTCCATTGTTTGGACGTCCCAAAAGTGCACCCCCATTGTTTTGGCGCCTCCATTGTTCAGAGGGGGGGGGCCCTTTATTAATCAAGTGCCAACATTACGCTTGTCGGCCTGCTACCTCATTGGATTTTGAACGGCTTGGAAAACCGGGGCAGTGGGAAGAACAGCTAGGGCGTGGGGGAAAAGCGTACTTTTGGGAGCTAGTGAAGTTGTTGATACCCGTAGGTGGTCATCCCCCAAGTGAGTTGGATGGCGAACCACTTGTTAACTTGGCCAACAGGGGGCGTTGCGTGATTTTGTAAGAAGCACGAGGATGTCCGTCTTGCCACTCACCTTAGATCAATATTCAATCTATCTTCCAGGACCTGCTCTTCTACGCCCAAGGCATTGTCATGGAGCTTCATGGGCGGAATGACATTCCGGAAAGATTCAAGTGGAAATCTGCACTTTCCCCAGATGGGCACTGCGCAAGTTGGGTTTGTCTCAATATAGGAATTGGAATGCTAGGTGGTTTCCCTTTTGGGTTCCCTTTGCCAACCAAAAGGAACCACCCAGTTGGCCCCCCCGAAAACCTGCGCCAAATCACCAACTCGCAGGGCACAATGCCTCACCGCCCTGGGGTTGTCAAAATCTAAGGACCCCTCTTTGTGAGCCAAAGGCGGGCCAACATAAAAACCGGGGGTCCCGAAAAAAACCTCGAGTCCCAAAAAACCGCTTTGCGTCGTGCGGGCTCGCCGGTGAGCGATCGCCAAGCGATTGGTCCTGGTCCCAGTGATTCGACTCCTTCCACTGATCGCCTGCCGGGGCTAAGGGGGGACCAAAACCAAAAGCATCTGAGGTACCCTGTGGTTTTTTGTGGTTGGCTGGCTTTCAAAAAAATGGTTGGGCGTGGTTCGCTGGCTGGCTTGTTGCTTGGCAGGTTGGTCGGTTGGTGGTTGGTTGTAGCCTTGTTTCCATTCATGAATGCCAAAAGGGGCACCGAAGTTCACCCTGACCACCCTCTGACAATTGGAGGGTTCTGGAAGACGAAACCAATCATCCTGAGATGGCCAAGAACAAATACACTTCCTGACTTCCACTGGAAAAAGGGTTCCGCATAAAAGGATCATCTCCCCCACCTACACCCCGCCCCCCCTAGTACAGGTTTGTGGGGGTACGAGTCTTGCCATTTTTGCCTTGTGGCCACCTTCCATGGGCAAGGGCCTGGCCTTGCCACCATCCGCGCGACCAGTCCTTGTCTGACCAGTCAGATTCGGACCAGCTCCGCGACTCAGACCAGTCCCACCTGCGCGGCACAAGCGGCCTCCGACATCTGCTTCCCAATTCTTGGCAGGGGATTGCCACCGACGGACATTTTTGGCAGCCCACTAAAAACGAACAGAACCAGAAAACCAGAAAACGAAAACACCCTGCCGCAACAAAAACCACCACTGTAATAAAACACAAGCCTTAGCAAATACACATTCTTGGGGTGACAAAAGGCTCCCATAAGTTTGCATCTTAACACAAGAACAGTGAAGTCTGAGTTGGCGATGCGACCGCACGTCTGGCGACTTCTGAAACGCTGCAGTTGCTCGTGCCGTGGCTGAAGAAAAGCTAGCAAGCAACGCCATGAAGCTATGTCACGGGGGAGCCTCATGAACAAATGATGGCACGTACCACACCCGCCCCGATTGGCATCTTTGGAGACAGAGGCTTCGCGGAAGACCCAAGGACCCAGCGTGGCAGTGGGCGCTTGTTGCTCCGGATGCCAGCTGTTAGTAGGCTGTTACTCTGAACCCAGTATTCAAGAAACCAAAAACTCTGGGGAGCATTCATGAAAGGTGCTGAGCGGATGAAAGAATCTGGCGTGCGCTGGTTTGCTGACCGCTGTCAGGCAGACAAGCATCCAATGGCATCAACACCTGGCTGTTAAACGAGTGTATATTACATGAGACACCTAACGTGGGGTTGTCTTAAAATGATGGACCCCACAAAACCAGGGTGTAGTCGGAAAAACCCTTGGTAAAAGGGTAAAACTGACGTCAAAGAGACCATTCAAGACTATGTCGCAGAGTCAATATCCTGGCAAGGTATCTTTGCTCAGGCGGGGGTTGAGCAATATTCTGTTCAGCCCTCAAATGACCATGGGTAACTTTTCCCATATCATCTTTTTAGTGGTTTCCCAACCAATGGTCATCCCCTGTTTTATAAACCTTTCGATCAACCCCCAATGTGCGCCCCTTCCTTTCGAGTCCCCTTTCAGTTTGAACCCTCAGCCCTGTCCCACCCGGATGACCACCAATCTGTCTTCCGCCTCAGCTCTCGAGATGCAAACGGGTCATTTTAGGGGCCGGACGGTATGGATCAACCCGAAAAAAAGGCTTGCCCTGGCAGTCCTGGTGATACTTTGACCCAGCTGGGTGTAGCTCAAGGACCCGGTTCGGTGCTTGGGACCCCCCAAAACGGCTGCGGTGTCCCTTTAGGTTTCCCTTTAAAGCCGCCCTGGAAAGGGTACCAACTCAAAAAAGACGAGCCACCAACATGGGAAAATGAGTGAGTCCTTGTGCGAATCTACAAAAGTCCCATGTCCCTGCACTCTGACCGTAGACTGGATATGTTATTTTGACCCGCCTCACAAGGTACCGTAGAAAAGCAAATTGAGAAAAGCATATGTTCCGATTTGGGCATGGCCGCAAACAAACCCTCAACTGCGAAAACGAGAAAACAAACCATCCGGGTGGAATCAAATAATCAGTAATCTTCATAAGGGTATGTGTCAAAAACCGCGAAACCGGGCTCTCCTCACGCCTTCTAGAAGTTATTGTTTTTGTGGGTTCAATGGAACCCCACCCAAACCCTAAAAACCTAAGGGGACGGCTGGGAACCGCCAAGGAAAATGGTGGTTGGCTTTGTGGCTTTCCCTTTAGACTCGCCAGCAAAGGGTACCCTCAGCAAAAACACACGAACAAACACAAACACAAACACAATCACAATCACAATCACACACACACACACCCATGAATCAGGTCATAAAACCCTTCAGAAAGGACAAGTCAGTCGGAATAGTCGATCCGACCCAAGCCACCCTCAACTGGGAACACCGAAAGCAAGCCCTGGAACATGTTTTTGGGAACTTGTATGATTCACTTGGACGAAGGCCTGCAAAGAAACACGACCTGTGAGTCACAGTCAAAATTATGCAGGTCTTTCCCAAAGGACATGGACATTTTAGTGACCCCCATGTCCTTCCTGAGTGAACCATAGACCACCAACAATTTAGACCGAATACCATATGGGGCCATGGCTCGAAAGTGGGACAGCGAATGGCTAATCAGCTTCCCTCCCATTGGTGGGTTGGATCGGTGGGAACTAAGGATTTGAACCCAGTACCTTTGGAAACCGAATGAGGAAGGTACCCCCTACCGTCCAAACCACCAATCCAAACCACAAAATGCAAGGGTTACCATGGTTGCCTGAAATAGGCCCGATTTGGACAAGAAGAAACACACACACACACACACACATCGCCGCCTTGGACCTACGAAGTCGCAAACTCAAACTAATTGCATCTGGGTGCCCAACACTGGCGGAGGATTGTCCTGACTTCTGGCAAGCGAACCGGCGTTTCCACGGTTGACGCCCTGAACATTGCCAGCGACCCAATGTCCGCCCGCATTTCTGGCAAGTTGATTTGCATGAACAGCGATTCTGATACTTCCCCGGTTGGTCCTTCCAAGCTTCCATTTTTTTAAGCGCCCTTGGAAAGAACATAGTCCCAGTAGTGATAGATTCCGTTCAAATCCAAAATAGGAAAAACATATTTTCAAGCAAACGGAAGCAAGTGGGAGAAACGGACTCGCCAGGACTGACCGGATCCAGCGGCCCTGAATGCAACGTGGCTGCTCGTGGATTTGGCGAGCTGCACATGCTGACAAGCTCCTTCTGACCAAGGGGAAACGCAGACACCAAAAAGTCAAGGAGCCCATCTAAGATGGGACACCCCCTATTCATCATGAGGTTCTTGTTGCGACTTGACGCAGCCGTTGCAGTTAAGCAACATAATGTGTGGGTGTGTCGGAAATTGGGGGACCTCCCTTTGTGAAAACTATAAAGTGGAACCAAAAGGAACCAAGTCATGTTCAGTCCTCTTTTTTTTTCCGGAAACACCCACATCCATTGAGATATACATGAGATATGACTGAACAAAACACAAGTAATACGTAGTACGTTCTGGATTCATCGATTGGCTCGTTCCTGTCACTCCCAAATGTAAATCTAGTACTCTCATGTTGAACGATTACTGTGTACTACTAATGAAATCTCATTTACAACACCCAAATTAGCAGGACTCGACCTCATGACAGGGAAGCAGCTTGTGTTGACTGTCCGTGGCTCAAACGCTTCGCTTTCAGGATGGTTTAGACATCAATGTCCGGCCTAAACTTGATTTTGTTTGAGTTTCGCGTCGGTGACGTGATGGTTTAAGGGGATATATCTGCAACCTTGTATCAACTTCGGCTATGATGCACAGAGTCCAAGTCATGCTGCGTTGTGTCAGCTTGTGTTTTAATCGATATGTATGCCTTCTGCAATGTATAATTCTCTGCAAATCCGCATTCGAAGCAGTGGCTTTTCCCCCCACGTTTCCCAATGATCATAAGTGCTTTCAGTGACTGCTTCGTGCGGGCTCATGCTGACCTCATGATTCATCAAGCCCGCGTGGTTGTGTTAGTGCTTCCATGTCTCTCTTCAAATCGGGAGTTTGACATGGAACCAGAGATCTCGGGCTTCGTCTTTTTAGGGAACCCTCGCGGTGTAGGAAAAAGGCAAAGCACCCTCTGGGCTTCCTCATTTCCCTCGAAATGCTTGAAACCACTCGCTGAGCTTCCGAGCCCCATTTCGAGACACACGGAACCCCGTTTGCTTCCGAAGGCAGGGAGAGGATACGACAACGCTCTGCACTTGGTCCCCAGGCAGGTTTGGTACCCAACCTCTCCAGGAAGGATTGGACTTTGCCATCCGGCGGTCGGCGGCCTGCCAATCCTTTCTTGGATCGCAGGGCTGTTTCTCACTTCCGAACGAGTAGCGTGGTCATCACAAAGCAACCCAACTGTTTGAGTGCCAAAATGGCAACCAAACCCAAAAAGTGCCTCTAAAGTCCGAAACGGAACTCAGGGACTGAGGCTTTGAAGGGCAAAAACCATCCGGTGCAAAAGTTAGGGTGCCCGCGGGATGTGCGGTGGGTCAAAAGAGACTGCGCTATCATCTTGTGAACTCGGCTATGAGCTTGCTGCAAAGGCACACAAGCCGAACACATGCTCCTTCGCGTGCCACAGGTTTTTACCTGGATCATGTGTACAAACGTCGTGTGCACCGAAGCGCGAACCCTGATGTTTTTGGGTAACATCGCGTCCACTATGGAACCTGACTTGGGGGGGTCTTGAAAGACCATCTTCCTCTTAAAGGGACCCTCCGGTGGGCTCCATGTTACAGGAGTGTCGCCAAAGGTGTGTGCCAGGGCAACTTGCTCCAGGACGTCGTGCAGTCCTTAGAGTGGCTTGGATTGAGGTCTGGTCATTCGCTCAGCGGAGCCCTGCTGCATTATGCTGCACTGAGGAGTCTTGTTCAGACGATGGTATGTCTTGCAACACTTTTTCCCGTCACCTTCCGTGTTTGGTACCAAGAGGGCCAAAACACCACGCGGGAATGGTTCGGAGTTTGTTTTTGTGGTTCATTGCTGATGAAACCACAACGGTTCTGGACGAATCCTTCCGTGCGTCAGCTCATCTACGATGTGGACAATGGCGTACGGCCATGTAGGAATACGCAAAGGCCGTTCCCACGTCCAGCTGCGAAATGGATGGCTCTTTGGAATGCCATCCACAAAGTGCAAAGCGATGAACCTTGAATGCCGACGGTTGCCGCGCCATCTGTTGAGGGAGAAGTCGTTTTTTCTTTTTGTTTTTACCTCTCCGAAAGCTTACCACGGGGCCTTTTTGCTGCCCCTGTTGGGGTCCAAAGGCCCATGAGTCAACTTGAATACAAACTGGCCAAAACCATCCAGGAGAGATCCTCACCAGCCAAGGCACCGGTTGAGTCAATATCCATGTGGGTGTGTCACAGGACGACCCCAAACAAACATGATGGTGTTTGTGGCCGTCCTTTACCAGTGCTAAGGGCGCCTTCTCAAAAAAACACACCCATTTGAAAT